TTCTAATGATGATCTCAGGGATGTTATATATTACACTCTTAGCCAGATAGTTAAACAAATATATGATACTTTTACTTACAGTGCAGATGTTTTCAGGAGAAAAGTGCCCATTTTTCCAAAGTCTTTCATGATGTAACTGCTTTCTCTAATGCAAACACATACATTTTTTACACCAATAAAAGGGCTTTTCAACCATAGATCTCTGTAACAACAGTAACATCTAGGTACTAATTAGAAAACTGACAGATGTTTGTTTCCTTCTTCTCTGTATCAGATACCTGTCATTGTTTTTTCTTTTGCACATATCCATTCTTGGAATTCACTTACAGCAGGAGTATTTTCCTGTGCTGATCTGTATGCAACTGGCTCTTGTTGGTATGTCAGACTTATTTTCTTCGAGAAGACAAAAAGACACTTTTAGTTAGGACCTGCAGGCAAGACTGCAAATATAGTCCACGTGCATTCCTGCTGATAACAAAGGTTGGAGTCTAGTGTGGCCCTGCAAAAATACCTCAGTGTTTGGAACAGAATGGTTCCTGCCTCTAACACTGTCAGGCAAGACAGAGAGCTCTGTTAGAGCTACCTGTTAAACCAGGACCCTGGGGAAAATGCACGTCAGTAGACAGAGGCAGAAACTGGCTCAAACTGTCATTCCATCCTCCTTAATGTCACCTAGATTTGTGAAAGGAAAAAAGCCCACAGTGCATGCCATCATCACAGGGTTGAACTGGACCCCTTGGAGCTTGGTATCCCCCTGAGCTGTATCACAGGTGCTCAGCCTTTCACAAGGAAAGAGATATTGCAGAGAGAGTACAGGCATATAACTGCGGTGATGCACTACTTTCATGTTCTTTGCTCACTTGGCAGTTCTCATAATTAGTAAGATAATCTGTCCATGCAGTTGCAGTAATTTTTTGTGGGAAAGTGGAATGGACACCTACACTCACTAAAAATGTGCTAAAAGCATTTGGAGTCTGACTCGTAGCACGGCATCGTTAGTTCTTGGAGTTAACTCCTATTGAGATGAATAGGGTAATTCACGTATCTCATATATTAAAACAATACCTCAGTTAGGAGCAACATCTCTTATTTTCAAAATGTTTATCTTAGTAGCTATCAAGATTGAAAATTAACTCCTGTGTTTTTTCAAGGCAAAGTTCTATCATGCAGCATTGGCCTTGGACAGGAAAGTAGAAATCATACCAAATGAGCATACAGACTAATGATTCCCCTTTGGTTCTCTTCCACATCCAAAGTTAAGCTAAGAAGTTAAGTAACATGATAAAATTACTTCCTTTTAATAATTTCTTCCACATAATTTCCAGGATTTTTTTTTAACCATTAGTAACTTTTCATAACACTGGTGCTTTCATGCCTCCTTACCACATCGGTAGAGGAGTGAATCCCAGAAACCAAGATGTGCCAATGTTATCATGCGTTTCCTTTTCTTGTCCACAAAGCTTTTTATAACAAAAGGCTTCAAGGTCTTGCATCCAAAGAAAATATCAGCCGTAATGGTCACTCCCTACCCCAACAGCATTCTAGTAGTTAGATTCCAAACACTATTGCTTCATTTCCTGAGGGGTCTCCTGCACATAGTTTTCTTCTGTGAGGCCTAAATGAACTGGAAATTGCCCCAAAAGGCTTTGTGTAATGTTGGATGAGATGGTCCTACACTCCTGTGATGATACTTCTTTAACCAAATTCTGTGTGGTGGGCTGATGTTGGCCAGCTGCCAGCTCCCCCCCTCTTGCTCACTGACAACAAGCTCTGTGGGCCAAGGTAAAGACAGGGACGTTACTTTGCCAGGTGGTGTCACAGACAAAACAACTCAGCTTGGGTGAAATTAATTTATTTGCCTACAAGAGATTCAGACAGTGATTAAAAAAAAAAACAACACAACAACAACAACAAAAAACCACCAATATTTTCCCGTCCCCCTTTCTCCCCCAGGCTCAGAGCCTCTCCTTCATTCCCAAATCCACCCCTGAGCAGCACAGGAGCATGGGGGGCTGCAGTCAGCCCACAGCAGTTCCTCTCCATTGCTCCCCCCTCACACTTCCCATGATGGCTGGCAGCCCTGCATGGGCTGAGTGGGGACACCCGCTCTGCCATGGGCTCTCCGCAGGCTGCAGGGGACACTCTCTGGTACCTGGAGCCCCTTCCTATCTGTTTTGCACACTTTTTCCCTCACAGTGTTGGCTCCTTCTCAGACATTTGCACAGAGGCACCACTGCCTTTGCGGAGCCCTGAGGAACCATCCGGAACCATCCAGAACCAGCTGTGGGGCATTGGTTGCCCTGGCCTCTCCCCACAGAGGTTGTGCCTGCAGGCCTCGCTGTCGGTGCCTGCATGGGGACACCCAACGCTTAATAACCAAACACTTTTGTACCTGGGAACATGCTGAGTAACAGTGATTTGCTTTAAGATTTTTATAGAGGTATTTTCAAAGTCTGTTAGTTGGGAGCCAAAAAGTTGGAGCTAACAAAGCTGAATAAAGCAGTAAATGCAAGACTGCAAAAGAACTCGTTCCCTGAGTACATGTATGGCTTTCAGGGACTGTAAGGTGGTTTCCCATCCCAGCAAACGCTCTGGAGCAGAGAGCTGAAGGTGCCCGATGTGAGGAGGGACGTTGCTTCAGCAGCACCCTACCACAGGGGCGGACAGCCGTGCTGCTGCAGGTACCATGCTGGGCAGACTGCCAGAGGGCAGGAGTGGCTTCCTTGGGTCCTCGGGATTTCTTTCCTTTGACTGCATATGCAGTTATAATCCTAAAGCCAGCTTTGGTCTGGGCAAGCTTATTTTACTTGAGCAACAGCAGTATGGCTGTACCCTGCGGGGAACTGGCCGAGGTCGCTGCTCTCCTTTTTGCAGTGGCCTCTGACAGATGCTATTGCTGTGCATGTGCAGCAATGCTATTTCTCTTGTTCCTTCATTGGCAGGAGAGAGCTGGAGTCTGCCTGTGCTGCAGAGCAGATGAAAGATATTCATATAGTGGTGGTTTGGCAATTCCTCCCTGTAGATGCAGCTGATTTTGGAGGGGAAGTCAAGAGGGAGAACTGTGTTTGCTGCTTAGCTTATCTACTCTTTGCTGTGACTCTTTCTACCTGTCACCACTATAAACTTTGTTCTCTCTGAATGAATGTGTCACGTTAACAGAAGTAACTAAATTTAGCAGTTGGCTTTGAGAATTTAGTTCTTTCTCTGCTTTTTGGTGTATTAAGTGATCACATAGCAAAGTGACAGGCAGCGAAGGAAAGAATGCAGGAAGGAGGAAACAAAAGGACTTGCATTTCTCTTCACTTTGAGAATGCTGAAATCCTTCAGTGTGAGAGAAGTAAGGCTGCCTAGTTATGTGGAAAAGCACCTTCTCTGCTTAGTAGTGGTATTTCTGTTGCCTGCTTCCATAAGCAGTGCAGTTAAAGTCACATGCCTGTGATCAGTTGGCTCAAATCTTACAGTATGGGAGTTGTTGGGCCTTTTTTTGCTGTTGTAGCCACCAGAATAAAAGATATTTTTTCTGTTGTTTTTTTTTATACCCCCACCTGGAGAAAAAAAATGTTACATCTACTTTGAGGCTAATTTGGAAGCAGGTGGAGCATTTAGCAGGATAATGGAGCACTGATTAGAGCTAATTATACCTTGATTGACCTGTTTTGGTGATTTGTTCTGTCTCTGTAAGGTGAGAGTTTTGTTTTTGTCCCTGTTTGGGAGAGACTTGCTCTTTTATGGGCAGACTGTATGTAATAATCACGGGGGTGGCCAGATGAATCCGTTTGCTACAACTGAATTATACTGCATCAAATTTACTTTTTAAGGTGATATTTGATAGTAGTCTTTTGTGCAGCGAGCAAAAGAAATTTTGCATATCCTTTGCTTGCATACAAAGACATGTAGATTATATAGATTCATTTGTTGTTGTACTGTTTAATCTTCAGGAAGTTTATTTTTTTATGATAGGCCGCTATAATATGGCTGGTTTTTTTTACTCCACTTCCAAACCTGTAGAATTACTACAGATTATTAATATTTCACATTTCATTTCTGTAATTCCTAATTTTACTTCTAATTCAGCCTAGTACAAAACTAAGCTTTTGATGTGGCTAATTCTGGAATGTAGAAATGGCTAGAAACCCAGTGATGTTATAGAGGCCCTTGAGATGGGGAGCAGAGTCACAATGAGGGAGCAGCAGAAAGGATGTTTGGCAATCAAAACATAATAAACTGGAACAGAATTTGGTCATGATATGGTAAAAGGATATTACATGTCATGTAGGTAGAGGAATTCTTATGCTCAGTTTCTCATCCAAAGATTGTCACTTTCAGTGTGCTGCTCAATCATGTTATGGAAAATGTTTAAATTAGATCGAACCTTTATGAATAGGTTATCCTGAGAAAATGCCCGGTACCATTATGAAAGTTCAAGCATGTTCACCCTCACTAGGGACAGAAATGAAATCTTGAAATGCTCAGTATTTGAGCAGTGTTTCCAATGCAAGCAGTGTTTTAGAGGTCTTCCATAAAATAATGACTTCACCACATCCTGCTGACTTGCTGTATCTAACGGGATGGAAGCGCACCGGATAAACTGGCTGTAACTTAAGATGATATTTATTTTTTGCACTGTATTAGATTTGTGTTTTAATCAGTGATATTCAGAAGCTCATTGGGAACCTCAAGACAGTGGTTATACAGATATGAGTTTCTATTTTATTTGTGCACTGAAGTGCATTTACAGTAACAGACCCAGTTTTTAGAGCCCTTTCTACCGAGAGCTGGCATAATAGCTTGAGATAAAGATAGACCATGTGCATTGCCAAGACCTAACAAGGACTTGTAATATAAAGATTATTAGCAGAATAAATCAGCACAGCAAAAGGAAGCATATTCTATGTGTGTCAGTCAAAGTGATGGTGAAGATTTGGGCAGTGTTTTTTTGCTTGGCACCTTGTGTAAATTCTTGTGCAAAAGAGCTTTTTTTTTTTTTTTTTTTTTTTTGTAAGTGTGGTCTCATGATCAAATATATCAAAAATGTTGAGAGTAAAGCTGAAATGTGGAAATGGTAAGATTTGTTCAAAATGTTTATATACTGTGTATGTTGAGATGCATTTACATTTGGATGCATACACATCCAGTGAATTAATTTTAAGGTATTTCCAGACAGTGATCAATTTCTCCTTTTCATTTATGAGATCAGTAGTATAAGTAACAGAGTCTGAGACTTCTGTAGACTGATGCAGTCTATTTCTAGAAAGCACTTTCTTTAAGGCTGTATCTAAAAGGTCACCACCCTGGCATAGAGGAGAAAAATAATACAGATCTCTTGCAGTCAGAGACAAATAGTTTTCCGCCTTAGTACACATCTCTGCTACTAAAAGTGTACTGCAGCAAGGAAATCCATTTACAGTTTTCCTTTTACATAACAGTTGCAGTGCCCTTAAGAGCCCCCAGTTGTTTCCATATTCTCTTCTCTAGTTGTCCTACAGTATAGCTGCAATAAAAAGCCTGTTTACTGAGATCTGGTACTGTTCTGTGAAGTGTTTCTCAGCAAACATTATAGGTCAAAAGCACGTGTTTCGACAGCTTTGAAAGTGTTCTCAGATAATAATAAGACTCCTACTCTTCTACTTTTTTTTTTTTCTCTTTCATTCTTTACCTAAGTATATGTACCTTCTTACAGTTTTGTTTTACATTGATCTAACCGTAAGAATACTTGTAAAAGGAAAAGCAAATGGAAATAGACTGGCCTTAGAATTGCCACTTGTTTGGCTGGTCGTAATCTGTGTGTGGGGTAACTGCTTACAGCTGTGCTGAACTTCTTAGTCACTGAGTAACTGCTACCACCTGCATCCTTTGCACAGGCAAAATTGATTAGTGGGCTGTTTGTCCTAATGCTCCTTCATCTTTGATCGTTTTTATACTTCCATCTATGTATCCACCAACTAAGTTTTACGGACCACGAAGACTTCTTTCACATCCTGAGGTAAGGAGGACTTCATTCTGTTGAGTTTTGTCATTTTCCTTGTCAGAGTGTTGCCCTGCTCCTGTGGTTCTAGAAATATGGCTCTATAAATATGGTCTTCTCCCCAGTTTGGGAGGCTCCCTGAGTTTTTCTCCTTGTTCTGCTTTCGCCCTATGCCAAATAGAAGCTTGCTTTATGTCTTTTGCATCTTAACCAGTATTCTGCCCCAAGATCTGTTGATGCATATTCCTTCTTGTGTTTTCCACTTGTTTGTGTTCTGGTTTCATTGGCCATCTGTTTGTTCTTAAGTACTTTCAAGTGCTGTTGTCTCTGCCTTTCTTAGCTTTTATTTGGAGGAGGTAACAAATTGTCTTCTGCCATCTGTAATATTGTTTATACTATGGCAGGAATTTTGAATAAATAGGTTTTGTTTTCTGGTGGTCAACCTTCACTTGGGATTTTCTCATGTTGGCTGGTATCAAGACTGTTGAAAAAACACCCTTTGTTATGCTGGTTTTGTACAGTATCCAGTTTACAGCTGATAGGAGCAGTGCTCCTCCCTCTTGTCCTTTGCTGTAGTATCAAAGCAGCAGGAAAAACTGTAATGAAAATCTTGATCTGTCCTGGTCCAGCTATTCAGTAGTACATAAATATTCATAAGTGAACTGGTGCACTTTCTACGATAATCAAACACGTACTAGGTACTGTTTCTTGATATAGTGTACTTGGCAGTAGATGTACATCAGATCTCAACATTTTAATGTTTCATTATTATCTACAAGGAAAGCTGGCTGTTGTATTGTTGAATAAGAGATGAAAGAAATAGATCAGCAGAACAATGAGATAGATTGAAATCCAGTAAACTCAACACTGCAAGTGCCTTTTCAGGCATATATGTATCAAAATTATTATTTTTTAACTTGTCTGTAACTTTAAACATTTAGTAAGGTAAGAGGTTGTTTTTTTTTTAAAGTACACTGAATTATGTAGGAAAATATAGTAGTGCATTAAAATAGTCCAAATTTAGGTGTAGAAAAGAAACAAATGTCATTCAGTGAAATGTCATTCATTGTCATATATAACCAACATAAAAAATAGGTAATATTTAAGATGTAGTTTGCTCCTCTTCTAATGATTACTGATGCCAGTGCTGTTCTCCATAATAGAAAGTCCTCATAATAGAAAGTCTCTGAAGCTCTTTCTGTTTTGATAAAAGAATAAATTCAGGCTGTGCACTCAGTCTTTCTCCTAGTATCTGAAGACAGTGTTTTTGCTGACACTGTTAATAATGTCTCCTATCTGAGGAGCAGAGGTGAACAACTGACCTCAGTTTTTCTTGTACAGTGAAACTGCTTAATGAGCACAGCATGAATGCTTACTCTTACTTTGATATCCCATTTTAAGTAAGGTGTGATAGCATGGATTACCACAAGCATTGTATCCCATCCCATTTGTGAATAATTCACAGGGCTTGATATTAAGCAAAAGCTTGCAATCACAATTGAAGAGAGATTTCAAAGACCTTATGCCTGGATGCGAAAGCAGCCTCGGCTTTATCCTTAAGAATGAGCTATACATCCAGACTCCAGAGTAAGAAATGTATCTCTTCACAGTTCTGTCCTTAACCAAGTGTGTTCCAACTTTAGCCATATGGTTGGTAATTAGAATAACAGATGAAGTACAATAAATATGTTCCTTTTAAAATGGACAAATTTGTAGCTTTTGTGCAGGTAAAATTACTCCTGTAGTTCAGTGCTTCTATAAACAGTGTCTTAATTATGTCTGCAGCTAATGCAATCAGCAGTCCCACACTGATAGCTACGAGCAGTTTTGTCTATTAATCCAGTTAGAAGGGAAGAAGGGGTGATGGAGCTGGTCATCTCCAACGCCATCTGTGAGTTACAGAACAGAGAAAAGTACCAGTTTCTGAAGTGCTGTCTGTGGCATCTTTAGCCAGTCAGCAGTGAATGCACATTATAGCATTCAGAATGAAGCTAATTAATATTAACAAGCTATCTGTACATGTGTGACTTTCTTTGAGTGTTCCCTACTATACAGAGAGCTTTTTTTAATGCAAAGGAATTGTGTAACTATCTAGTGAGAGGGAATGCACAGCTGGGAAATGGAAAGGGCATGCAGCTCTTCCCGCAGGTCAGCATGGGTTTGCTCTTGGTTAGCGGTAAAAGTCAGTCTTTGCTAACTTTTGCAAGGTAAGGGTAACATTTTAGTTGGGCTCTCTGAAAGCATTGTTGTCCTCCTGGACTGCCTTCACACAAAGGCACAAGAATGAACAGGAAGCTGCTGGAAAAGTTGGAAACCAGAGTAAACTCTGATGGAAAGCAAATTAGATATCTGCTTTCAGTGTCGTCTTCTAGCTGATAAACAGAGCCCAGCCTCCAGGGCTATCAGTCCTGTGCTTTCAGGACTTTTTAGCTTTAAAGATGCTTTGGAATTTCAAAGAGTGGTCCTTCACAACATGGAAGCCAGCTGTAATTCTGGGGTAAATCAGAATCAGATGATAAACAGACAATGATTTTTTAAATTTTGTGATATTTGTATTTTTATTTAAGTTCACACTATATTAATAAAATGATTTGGAAGAGGTCTGTGCTGTAAACCAATCTTTGTTTTTGTATGTGTTGTTCCTGTTGAAATAATATGTTTAAGAAAAGGTTGCTTTGTTGTTGTAGAAGCAGTTCTTCTGAGTGACTACAAACTTAGTGTAAAAAGCACCACCAGGTTACTGAGTTTCATAGAATGAAGAGATCTTTTCTGATATTAAATATAATTTTCTTATATTTTGGGTGGGAGGAGTAGACAAACAATTTTTAAGGTGAGCAGGAACACTGCTGACTTTCAGGAGGCGTCCATTACAGGTAAGGAGATTATCCCTAACTCATGCCAGCTGTGAGGCTGTTCCACTATTTAATCAAGAAACAGCAACTGGGTAAAGTGAGTTCCTCTGATAAAACTAGAGAACCTGCTTTGTTGTTCTGCAGGAAAACTTAGGGTTTTGGTTGTTTTTTTTTTTAATCTAAAGGGATGAAAAGCATAGAAAATTTTTGTAGCATTGCTCCTATGTTGCTGAGAATCTCAAGGGTTTATCTCTGCTTGCCAGGATCTTCTGAGTGTTGCTGTGCTGTTATGGTTGCTGCATCACTGGCTTGGCTGACGGAGTTGAGATCAGACTTAAAAATGCGAGGAGCCACAATAAGCTGTGAACGGAAGGATCTTTAACGAGCACCTTGGAGGATAAAATCTGAATTTGAATTGATCTTAAGGTGAAGAATTAGGATCAAATAACCAATGTAGGTAAGTGCAAAGAAAGAAACATCAGATAATATTTGGCATGATAGTTGGTCAGCAAAAACAGATCTGGTGGCTATAGTGTGTTGTAAAGCAAAATGTGCAGAATGTGTGCCAACAATGCAGCGTTGCTAGGAAAAAAAAAAAGCTATTTTTAGTTTGGAAGATTATTCAACATGGGGGAAGATATTTTTCTGTCTTGGGATTTGGATCCTTCATCTGAAATATCAGCTTGCAGTCCTGAGGTTCACCTGGTAAAACAGACACAAAGTAGTGACAGAAATTGAAAAGCAAAAAAAAAAAAAAGGCAAAAAAAAAAATGGAAATGAGGAGTTCAGCAAATTTAACCTCTGAAGGAAGCTTGAGAAAATTAGATTAATTTACTCTAAGAAAAAAGGAAAAGAAGACGAAAAGAGACCACAATAGCAACTATCTAGTCTGTTAAAAGATGCTTTAAAGAAAAATTCTTTTTTTTTTTTTTCTCCTGTATTCTTTACGGGTAGAACAAGAATGATCAGCTTTAATTGTAGGAAAGAAGGTATAATGCAGGCATTAAGAAACCTTTTTCTTCTGTGAAAGTAGTGGAGAAGTATAAGCAGCACATATACTACCATGTGCCTGTCCTTAGAGATTTTCTTAAAAGGGTACAAGGAAACATCTGTCAGAGGTGGATGTTCCTGACTTTTTGTTATAGCACAAGGAGTGGAGCAGATGCTTTATCAAGACCTTCCTCAGACTATTTTGGAAAATAGCGACTGTGACCACTCATTTTTACTGCATTTTGATTACTATGATACAAAATTGAAGTATTTCAACCGAATTCTTCCAAAGGCTGTAGTAAGATCACACAGTGAAAAGCATGGTGGATATTTCAGGAAATTCTACTGATGTGCAGTAGCAGAGGTATCTTTCTCCTAACAAAGCTGGGGGTATTGCTGTGGCCCTTTCAGCTTCTTCCCTCCTATTCTAGGACAAAACAATTAAAAAAACAAACAATGGAAACAAACAAAAACATCAAGCCTCAAATCAGTATGGAAAATAGACTTTATCTTAAATGAAAAAATTATTTGTCTTTAACATAAAAAGAGACTACAGATAATCGGTCTGATTTTGGTTTGATTTATTAATGGCATCAGTGCTGATGATAAGATAAAGTGCTTTCTGATTATGGTGTAGGGATGTAGTCATGTTCAAGAGCTAGTACAGCCTCATATACCATCTAACACAGATGTTCCAATCTATCAGTGTGGCTCTCCTGCGTTTTTTGTTTTTGTTTTTTTTTGGAGTGTTATTTTTGTTTTATATATTCATTCAACAAAAGATATTTGTCCTGAAAGTTCCTACCTGTTTTCCTGTTTGCTCCCAAAGTACTTGGAACAGAGGTTGCAGCCCTAAGTGGCTTTGTAACAGTCATGTGGAGTTTGTGAACTTGGGCACAGAATCACGATGCTGTTTTGTAGTGCATTAGTTTCTTGTTAGCATTCTTTCTCAAATGTTGAGAAGCTGGTTGTTTTCACTAGCTGAAAGTGATTACTTATAACAGAGAAATAAAATAAGACCAACCATGAGCTGCAGGAATCCTGTCTGTACTGTGTGAGCTTTTCTAACACAGGTAAGGGTTTTTTTTTTTTTCAGCGTTGATGTATTATGCCTTTATAGTTAACACTGGGATGTTTGGAGTAGAGAGCTGTTAAAAAGGCTTGAAATGAGCTTCTGTAAGAGCAGAGTTTGATTGAAAAGGTACAGAATAATGAAATCTGCCTAAGCAATGAATTATGGGTCACACTGTATTATCAAGAGAAGAGAATTAGTACAGCTCAGAAGAAAAGTGAGTGCACAGTGTGACAATAGCCCGGGGCATGTCTAAGAGGAACTGGTAAAATGGGATTATTTGCAATGCACAGTGTGGACACAATAAACACTAATGGGCTTAAAACAGCAGAAAGGAAACTGGTGTAAATAGCAGGAAGGAAAGTCATGATAAAACACCAGCCAGGTACTTGCATAGCTGCTATTCATCATGCTTGACATCCATTAGTCAAGAAATTTAGTACGGATTTGAAAAAGATCTGCAGACATCATCATACAGGGCTATGTTCACTGGGCTGCCTCCTCGTCTGTTACTGCATAGAGCAGGTGGTCAGATGGCCTCCTTGGTCACTAGAGCAAGGTGGTGTTGCCTAGTTTAAGCAAGACAAAACCACAGTGTTTTGTCTTTTTTGTATTGTGGAGTTTAACCATGCTGTTATGCATCTAAAGGAAGAACTAAGCAATGAAAGATCTTTTTTAATTGTTGGGTCAGCCAATCTACCTTACCATATATGAACCTTTGGAAATATTTATTTAAGGAAAAAAATCACTCTGGAGTGAGAGCACTCTACAAATATATTGTGTGCTTTATTTTGGTGGACTTGCATCCTGATATGGGTGTCTGCTGTCTCTGATGGTTGCATATATCTCCAAGGCTTGCTCTTGAGGTCCAGCTAACCGGGATTCACTTTGATCTCAGACTTGCATTTTCTCCTATGCAAAAAGCTGCAGAAGTGCATTTTTGTGAGTATGTGTGTGTATATATATGTATACGTGTGTGTATATATATAAAATGGTAGATAATACTCATTGTTGCCAGCTTGAGCGCTTCTATTTCTTTACTGGTAAACTTTCAACCTGGAAGTGACAACTGCCTGAGGCATGTCTTTCCACTGTTGTTCTGGGAAAAGGAAGAAAGGTTGTTTGTGGGAAGGATCTGAGAGATTTTTAAGGTTGAAACAGAAAAAATGGAATAACAAAGTTGATACATTTTTTGCTGCTAACCAGAGGTGTATGGAAAGAAACAAAAATAATCCTAAGGAAAGGACACTTGACCACAGGGATGCTCTGAGAAGCTTGATTTTTTTTTTATTTTTTTTTTTTCCCCCACCCCCTATATGTCTTTGTTAGGCAGCTATCCTATTGAGTTCAATAGGGATTTCACACTAATAGAGATGGTGTGGCAAGAATGGCATATTTTCTATCAGAGCAACTCTGCTGACATTACACTTATGAAAATGGGATCTAAATGACTAGGGCTAGGAGGTTTCTATCAGAGCTTAAAAAAAAAACAAAACAATGAAATAAAAACAAACAACAAACTCTCCTTTACAGTCATTGCATTTCAGTTTTCATTGTTGCAGAACTGATGCTCCAAGTTTATCACTATACTCACTCGTTTCAAGATCTTCTTGATGCTATTGATATCTTAATTCCCTAAAACTGAAGGTCATGGATTTGAGGAAGTCCTTTTCATGACAAGTTTTGCTGTTGTTTTACCTTTGAACCAGAGGGGACTGATGATTCAGATTTAGTTCAGGAGTTCTTAGTAGTGTTATTTGTGGTTATGTTTGGATAAAGAATATTTATTGTGTTTTTTCATCTGATAATGAGTTTTACATTTCTTGGTTTAAAAAGAAGGTAACTTTGTTTCCACAGTTGTTCCTATTTATGCTTAGATTGTCTATAGAGCAACTCTATGTCCTTTTCATGAGTGTCTTTTGTAATTAATAGGAAAAACTCAGCAGGACACTGAGTTAGTTTTGCTTAAGAAGGGGGAGTTGCTGGGCTGCTTGCATCAGTCAGAGAGGAGATGCGTGTGTCAAATGAGCATGTCAGAAAGCTGAGATGTTCTGTGGTGTTGGTGCAAGAAGGTGTTTGTGCTGAATATATTGCAAATGCGTTTGGAAACAGGCACCACTAGAAGCTGTGCAGCTTGCTGTGCTATTCCATTTGGGGAGCTCTCAAATTCTGGTCCTGTCTGTCAGTGCTTTCCTGACTGCTCGTAGTATTGAGCTCTGCTCCTCTTGCTTTCCACAAAATTTATGTTAGGTCTTTGGATGTTTTTCCAGTTAAGTTAAGCAACTGCCAAAGAGAAAAGAGTCCTTCATAATTATCTGGTTCATGGACCACTCTGTTACAATATACAAATTAGCTGTATGCTGTAGTACAATGACTCACTCCAGGTACTTCTACCACTGAACAAGTTGCATTATATGACACAATATCTAGAGCTTAATGTTTGGTTTTTTTTTTTCCTCTAAAGTTTGCTCCAGCCTCTGCTGTACTTGTTCTTCTTGATGTGAAAATTAAATGTGGTGTGTGGGTTTGTGCTTTGTTTCTTGTTCTCTGGTGATTTTTACTTGAGAAGCTCTTTAAAACAGTTGATAGTCACTGCAGATTGCATATGCAGGGCTTGCCCCAACCCCCTAACTTCTTAAATTTGAGCTCTTTTAGGATGTGTTTATCCTAATTTTACTGGGCTAAAATTGCTTGCTAGACATTGGTCCAAATCAATTAAGAAGCTGATTTATTTATTTTAGAGCTCATAAACATGATTTAAGATAATGATTGTCTAGAGCTTATTTCTACACTCAGCACTACTGAATTATTCTATCCTTCTAGCCAAAGGTTTTCAAGATGGAGCAGAAGAGTAGAGTATAATTTATATGTTTTCCTGAGGTAAATTCAGATGTTTCTGTCAATTCTTGCTTCCAAGATTTTACAAGGTCTGTAAATTAAGTGCTATAGATGGAGTTGTTGCCTGCCTGCTTTTGACAAGGAAGTCAAAGTTGATGGACATCGATTTGCCACTGGGAACCAAAACCATTAATTGAAGCTGTGGTGGTGACTAATCCATTACTTTGCTCTGCTTCGTGGATCCCAACCTAACAGTGGTTGCTACAATCAAAAATTCATTCATGCAAATGCACCTATTGTGATCAAAGTAATCAATTTCTTTCTAGTCCTGTAGTTGGCAGGATCAGGGTTATAGAAACCTACCCACATATTGCTGAATTGCCAAAATGAACTGACTGCTCCCGGGGGGGTGTGTGTGTGTGTGTGCATGCACACGTGAGCTGGGGAGATAGGATGCCAAAGCAAATGAGTGTGAAACCTACCATTAATGCTGCCACCTCTAATCATGGCATGAAACAAGACGTGTTATATAGATCTTCAAAAGGAGCACATAAGGATGGCTGGTGGTGGGCTGTTTTTTGGTTTTTGTTTTGTTTTTTTCCTGAATTTATCTAGTTTGTAGATGCTCAGAATCTGCAGGCACGGGAGAGGAAATAGAAGAGTAGTCCAGTGAGATTTATTTATTTTGTTCTTACAAACTTGAGCTCTGGGAACTTGGAGTCGTTGTCAGACTTTTCTACCTGTGGTGACTTTTGGTGGAAGGAAAGAGCATTTACTCAGAAAAGG